GTTGGTTGCTTCCCTTCAGAGAACAGGAATTTTACCTGAGTTTTTAATGTTCTCATGGATTCTAGATATGTGCAACGCAGCGTGTATCCATTGAATACAAATATCTGTGAGTATGTTTTTCTGAATAGCTACGTAAAGCAATCTGTTCTCAGCGCGATAATTTGCCAACAAATACTCTTTTTTTTGATGTTTTTTTTGTTTGTTAGTTAATGCTTTTTCTCTCCTATAGATTTTTTTCTTAGTATTTATTTCTATTTTTCATTGTATAGATACCTTTTTGAAGATTTTATTTTTTTTGATGATTGTGACGACCATCAAGACCATCAACCTTTAAATTGAGATTGCCATGCCAATGAGCTTGCAACACGTGGCTGAAAAGTAACAAAAACTTCCACCATTTTTATCTTTTTCGTTATTATTTTGTACACTTTTAATTTTGGTTGTTGAATATTTTCTGCTTAAATTTCTTTTTTTCTTTCTTGTGCACTTAATACGTATGAATACTGCCTGCTTGTGTTGTGTATCTTTTTTCTTTTTAAGTGTATATATTTCACTCTGAATACTAAATAAATTGTTTCGTCATCACAGCGCGCCTACACACATATAATTGAGTTTATTTCACTAACTAAATTTGTTTATGGGGAGCTAAAATGGGCCTTTGTCAACGAAACAACGCACACTGCTACAATGAGTAAGCAAACCGGCCGGCTTTGTAATCGTACGTATTTACGAATAAATTCACATATTTGCATAGCATTTAAGACATGCCCTATACCCTACACACTGGTTGCAATATTTCGGGTAAGCCAATACATTTGTACATTTGTTTTCAATTACAATGTGACATACAATGTGATTTATGAGTACACTACGATCGGCATCAGCTTTTAGGGTTGAAATCAATGATGGCTTGTTTGTAGAGACCAACGATTTCTAGTATTTCTACTAAATAAAGTTCAGCGCCATCATATCACGCATCGATAACTGTTTAGAAAGTGTCGAATGCGTCGCCATCATTTTGAAATCAAATCTTCTTTTAAATTCTGTAAAACTTATTTTTTGATAATTATTCAATGTGGCTCAATATCGGACGTCATTGACAGTTACATTTGTACTTGCCTCTTTTTTTATTGAAGAAGTATTCTTTTATATAATAGTTCATAAATCGCACTTGGTGTACATTTTTCGGGATGTCGTGCATCAGATGCGCCAATCTTGTTTATTGACAAAGCCACTGAAATATATAGGAATCTTAGGACTGAACAAAATTTTGAGATAACGAAGTTAATCGACTTCCAACCGTTCAAGCATCCATTTCCTGCATTCATGACGCAATTTGTGATCGTGTGGTTAAAATTTTTAACTCAATTATGTTATGCAGAATTTGTCTTAAGCAAAATCTTCACAAAGTTCATCGGGAAAAACTTACTTATTGTTTAAGATGTCACACTTTTGGAATTTCTGAAGGCAGCTCCATCTGTGCGCACCTTATGTAGTCTTGAGGATGGCTTATTGGTCCAAAGCTGTAGTCGAGCTACGAAATTATCTTATATATCTTATTGGGCAGTGATTATGTTATCAGCTTTTTGACAAACAATAAACTGAGTGCTGTCACATCACCTGGTAAAAAATCCTTAATTGTATATTTTTTGTTTTTTTTTCTGTATATTAGGTGTACTTTTGGACAGTCCTTATCTCAAATATTTATTATACTCATAATTCAACAATAGCTTTAAATATTTTTAGATTGACATGTTGAAATAGTTGTCGTTGTCTGCTTGGGTAAACGTTATGTCAAACAATATCATATTGTTATGATAAGACAAGCATTTTTTCAGTTCGTGACGTAGAGATAGATAGCCTGGTGGCTTTAAAGAATTTGATTGTTTTGATTAGGTATGTAATATATAAATAGAAAAACAAAAACACATGAAAAACATATTTAGTTCTAAGAAACAATTGATGTTAATTTTATCAATTAATGTTAAAAAGTGGCGATGGTGAAATGAGTTGATGTTCGATTTGTTCCATAAATCCTTCGATAATTTTTAAATGGGTATTGTCTTACATGTTTTTTTTGACATTCAAAGCATATGGTATATTTTTAAAACCGTAATTATCCGAAGTATTTACTCGAGTGGTGTCAAGAGAATGTTGAGTGTAAACTCTCTCTTATTACACAACTTATTTGATCCCAATCTTTATGTGAATGTTCTTACTTTAAAAACTTTAAAAAACTATTCAGTGAATATGCATTTATTCTTAACATTTTGTAATTTTTATACTTACGATAATACTTTTTAATAAGAAAGTTACAAACGTTCATATTAAAAAATATGAACTATACAGGACTGAACTGAAAAGATTGCCACATACAATATTATTTGAATAGAAATTAAATTCTGCAAAGCAAACATATCATAATAGGTATGTGTTCCACGAGCTACTTGTAGTAACTTTGAGTAACACTGTATATACACACACAAGTGCGTTCCACCCGCAAATTTTCGAGTAAATGAGACCATCTAAGAGAAAGTAACATCCCTGTCGCAATTTGAAAATGCTACACAGACTTAAGGCTCAGTTAGACGGTAGGTGACGTAAGAAATTAATTCACGTCTAACTCAGCCTTTACTTGTGTTTTACTTGTGTTGTACTTGTGTTTTACTTGAGTTTTACTACGAGTAGCTTGTAGAACCAGACCTATAATGGCTTTCACTGTAATAAGAGATCACGGTTAAAAAGTATGAATCACTTGCAATGATTATTTTAATATTATTGTATTGTATTGAAACACATATTAGATTAATAATATTTATTTACGCTTTTAACGAAAATCATATTAATCATACTAAAATTTCATTTGATTTATGATTGAACCGGCTTCAGTTAATTAAAATAAATTGATTTTTTGTTTATTTAAACTTTTCTAACTACTTGTTGTACTCCATATAATAAAAATAAATTGAATCTATAATTTAATTCACAATAATTTTAATAACTATTTGCATATTTATTTAACTATGCAAATAAAAATAGATAAACTGTATTATAGGTATGTCATTCAGCATCAAATACGGGTTAGAACACCCGTAGTACACCTTACAAATAAAATAAAATTCATAAAAGTCGAATATAAAGTTAAGCAAAACGCATAAAATACTACATGATTTAAAATATGTAGTGTTGAGTAATATTATATATTAGCTGGGCCTTTGTTTCTCTTCGGTGTTGTTTTTTTTTCTGCAACACTATTAGCTAGCAGTTTTGTTTATATTTGATGTAGCTACTGTGAAATTCTTCTTTTCTTTATATTTGACACTTTGGTTGAAAATATAAATATTTTTTCTTTTTTCCGAAAAAATCCGGACTTTCAAAATTGATCCTGTCGATTTTGTGGTAAGCATTGGACATGTATATATAAGTTGTCTGAGGTCATGGTAAACCAACACTTGGTCATCGATGGTTGTTTCCGCAATTTGAAACAGTACGTTTCTGGAGTGTGACTCCTTTTCTAGCGTAGTTGTGTATGTTATGTTATATATATGCAATTAAAATATCCTTTAATGTATTCCCTTAGTATATTATATATTCAATTAAATTAATCTTTGAAGTTTTTCGTTAGCAGAAACTTTTCCATTAGCAGAAGATGATATATATATAGGTTTTACCTCTATTTGGTAAAAATAATAACGTACATATTTGATCAATCAAAATACTTTTTAATGTATTCCGTTAGTAAGAAGTTTTCCGTTAGCGCATGTATTACTTTTACGGGAGTGTACTATAACTTGGACCCACATTGATGCTTTATTTTACTTTTTTTATATATAGGTTGTATTTCTATTGGTCATAGATAAAATAATATATTTGTTTAAAATAATCAATATGAAGAAAAAGCGAGAGGAACGGTAGCATTTTATTGCTGATACCATATGTAAGATGCGCATATTGATTTGTATATGGAAAACTGTTGAATGTCGATAAAATCTGGTTGAAGGTGCTGAGTTACTGGTACTTTAAATCGAATGGAAACGCATAAGTTTATTGCCTTTCGTAAGCTGCTGAAATCAGCTGAAACGTGTAGTCAATGACGTAATAATACAAACTGTGTGCGTGTTAGTTTCAATGCAAAGATATAAATCATACGGAGCGGAGGGAGCTACTGCTGTTTTATGGGCTGGTCGCAAAGAGCTATCTACGTGCCACTATTAGTAGCAAATTACATTCTCACCTCTCCAATCCTTCTCACACCAATGAACTGAATCTAATTGCATGTAACTATTTTCTCCAATTTTTTTTTTGTTAATATTCATTTGGAATGAAATTATAAAAAAAAACGTATATGTTTTTGCATTTTAATGTGATTTGTGGACTTACTTGAACAGGTTCGAAATAATCGTTGTGCTTACTTTAATACAAAATTTTAGCAATAAATTATTTAATATAAATGAAATAAAAATGAAATTAAATACAACAACAAATAACACTGCGCATTTGTCGTTGCGTTTTAATTAATTTTTGTTTATGCTTTCCATTTTATTTTATATTTTTTGTTTTGTCTCTAAACAAAGCAATAAAGAAAATTTAAAACAATTCAAAAAATTTCAAAAATTTAGCAATTTAGCAATTTAGCAAATTAGCAATTTGAAAAGTTGAAAAGTTTAAAAAATTAAAAAATTAATAAAATACTATTTAGTTAATTTTTATAAAATAGAAAAATAAGAACAACAAAACTCTAAAATGGCGCAAAACAATAAAAACAACAAAAATAAACTAAACAAACAACATCAGCAGCAACAATCCGGTAAAAAGGTAGTGATTTCATACATAAAAAAATTTCATAAACACTTAAAAAAATGCAATGTACATATTTCATCACAAAAAATGATTTCACTATTTGAACTCTTGAACTTCAGCTTATATAAATTATTAATCATCTTCTATCCTTTTCTTCCATTGTTTCGTTCTTTCGTTTTTTCGTTCTGTCGATTTTGTAGAGTACCCAAGATAGAACCTCAAACAAGCGTAAACAAAATGCAGAAGCGAAAAAGAAATGCGGCTGCTGCAAATGGGTTCTCGGTAGTGTATTATTGGTGGCCATCATCGGTGCTGCACTCACCTACGACACCAATGTCAATGGCAAAGGCGTGTTTGCTAAGTCTGCTACAGGGAAATTTTTGAAAGATGCCGGCTTATTGCCGCATGTGGAAAAGGCCTGGTACGTAACAATGGGCACCTTAGCCCGCGCTTATAAATGGTCTGAAGAGCGTGTTCCAGGTATAGCCAAGCCCGCTATCAAGTTATTGTGTGATCTTACCAAAATGTTGCGTAACGCTGCATGCAATATATTTACGACACTTCAAAACGTCATCTCATCGAAGCTGCCAGTAGCTGCTAAATTTGTAAGTATCAGACGTTTTAATTTTTGACATAAGTAGGAAGTACTAATAATTAAATTTACGTGTTATGAATATTTGCACAAACACTATATGAATGAATAATAAATAGAGGGCAAATGTTATTTTGGAAAAAATAATAGGAAGTTAAAATTATTATTACTATAAACTCAAGTCATGGATGAACTTGTACACACTGCTAAATCCCTAATTTTCGGTTTTGCACTTCAAAAAGTCATATACGAAAAATACTTTCAGAGACCAGACAACTGGTGATGGGTTCTTCGCAATACTCGAAACAACTGTATTATAATCATTTGAAAATTCAAATAATTACAAATAATATATAAACAGTCTTTTATATCTTCTCTTCTAATTAAAACACGTTTCGTAGTTGTATTTGACTTCAAATTAAGTTAATTAAAAAGGATTTCGTTCTAAAGCCGTAAATTCACATTGAATCTTTGTCGTCTAGAAAGCTTAATTTAATCAACATAGGTCAGTAAATAATAAATAAAATGAGTACGCAAACCGGTTAAACTTAGTTTCACATTTTTATAAAAATATTAAAAATTTTTTTTTAATCTAGGAAACTTGCTTAGCAGTTGATATGTGTGATAAAAAATATTTGTAGGGAAAACAAAAAACAAATTGAAATAATAACAGATTAATAAATCATTGTGACAATTAATCAACGAATTGGCAGTAATCAAATATCAGTATTGTACTAATACAATGAAACTATTTTTTAAACATCACTAATAGCTTTGATTTGTTTACATATATGGTATATGTTGTATATAAATATATACGTGTATACTATACATACATATAAATATATAAGTATATACCAACATTACTATAGACAAAGAATATATATACTATAGATATCATAAGAAAACAAATAAAAAACGATAAAATTCCTTTTAATGTATCTAGTTATAAAGTATACCTAAATATTATATGGATATAACTTAAGATTTTTAACATTGCTCAGAATATAAAATAAAAAAAATCAAATAATGATAATAAAAATGAGCAAATTTCGACATTGATGGTATCTAAATATAAAAGCCTTTAGTCGATATAAATTTCTAGTCTATAAATTAATACTACACGAATATGCTAGAGAAATGAACTAAAAAGGCTACATTTATTAGTTTAAGTGGAATAACCGCTGACAAAAGCACAAATAACTTTATAGAAGCAGCCAAAGTTTTAAATCGTCCAGTACATCATGGTGCTCAAGGCTATATAAGCAATAAATAATACAGAGAAAGTTGTTGTCGTTGTTGTAGCCCGAAGAGCCACAGGTTTTTGTTCAACATGGATATCCAGATTTAGTTCAGCAAGGATGACCACAACAAATCAGGGTCAGCTTCAAAGCGACTTATTTACAACACTTGCAAAACTAACTGGAACGAAACACATCCACATAACACCATATTATCTTGCATGGAATGGGATGATTGATCGCTGGCATCGGTCTTTAAAAGTAGCATTAATGTGTAACAGTGAAACACCATGAATCAATCTTCTATCTACAGCACTTCTGGGTCTAAGAACTGCTTAAAAAAGCGATATAGGAGTTTTATCAGCTGAAATGCTCTACGGCTGTACGTTTCGACTACCAGAAGAATTTTTCAACGACTTTGATGCATACGGTGATTCACAAAAATTTCTTATCAAATTTCGAGAATATATCAAGGCTATACGTCCAAAACGTGAGTACATCACGGTCATCGTTACGAATTCTTACAGAAAAATATAAACATATGCACACATGTTTTCTTCAGAGCTGACCACGTGAAGAAACCGTTAGAAGCACCCTTCTCATGACCAAATTTGGTGATCGCGTTTATATGATCGTAGTAGATGGCAAAGAACTTAACGTCTCACTTGAACGCGTAAATACCGCTGTTTTTGCAAGAAATCCAAATGATGAAGTCAAACCACTAATAACGTATTTTAACAAAAAGGTAGCGGTCGCACAAGACAATCATTAAACGGGGAAGTAGTTGTGGCAGCACTGTTCTAACACCACCGACAACAAATGTCAAAAGTAAAAAAATCACATGTTCGAAAAACAGAACTAAGTGTCAGCTTAGAAAATATAAAGAGTATATATGTATACAAAATAATATATTCTAGTCTTATCTTTAAACGCCTTCTAGCGTAACCCGTTCGGACTAATACAACTTGGGATGCAGACAACTAAAGCCATATATTGAAAAAATAATAGATTTCTTATTACGACACCTAATATTTTTATCAACATAAAGTTACGTTAATTAAGAAAAACAATACCATATATAGTAGATGTTGACGTGAAAATGACCACCGTTCTTAAGAGATAATATCCTTAAAAGAGGTGTTAATATAAGATAACCTTGTATAATAAATAAACCATCTATGTAGCCATTTATACACCTCATCGATGGTGTCAGTAAATTTATGGTTCAAAGAAAGGGTTTGAAGTTGTCATATATGGATACTGTAGATATACATTAATAACAAATATATGTGTAATTTCAGCAGCGTAATAAGAATTGAAGCTTTCTTCTATTATGTTTTTATAACATATAAATGAATTATAATAACAATTAGATATTTTTATTTTTCAGTTGGAACAATACGTGCCCGGTTTGCCCCAAAAAATTGAAAACATCTCAGTGGCTGTGAAAAATATCGTCGTGGATGTCTTTGGCAAGACTATCATGTTCTTTAAAGAAAAAGTTCTAGTGTAAGTTTCAAAATAATAAATATATTATATTCATATGTATTCATTAATTTGGATTTTTTTTTCAATTTCAGCGGTTCGCTTTCACCTGAAAACCTAAGCAAAGCACTGAACCACACTCAGAACGTTGCGCTAGAGTACTATAATGTGTTCCACAAAAAGGTGGACACATACGCGAAACTTAAATGATTCTGAAAACTTTACCCCGAACAACAGAACAACTAAACAAATTACCTAAATCTTAATATTTGTACCAAACAAAACTAATTTAAACACAAAAACAACAAAAAAAGATTATTGTGTGAGGGCAGTTTTTTTTATGTTTATTTAGAAAAATTTAAAAGAGAGCTCTCCGCCGGATTGTAAAAACTAAGTAGCAAAATAATAATTATTTGGGAAATAATAGTTTTAAATTCTTAGAAGCATTGACAAGAGAAACCTCTTATGAAATTGTATAAATAAGTTATTTAGCAATCAATTTCAAATTTTATATTATTATTTGAACTGTTAACTTAAAATATTTTGAATTTTTTAAAGTGTAAGGTTCGTTGAGCGAAAACATTTTTTTAAAACTATTTTTAATTTATACGTACATATAATATTTTGCATGTTTCTACTTTTTGTTTAGTTAACACAAGAACATTATTTCTAATAACGAAAAAATTCCATTAAAGTTTTTGTATAAGTAAAAATTTGTTTATGTGATTTTTTTTAAAAGTAAAAAAGGAAAATCGTATATCGTGTCTCGTCATTTTTAAATGAAAGAATGAAGAAAGCAATTATTTAAATTACAACTAAAAGTTTTTCAGCATTTCCATTATTAAGATAAAATTATATATATTTTAATGTTTTTAAAATAAGATTTATTGAAACTGTACACTTTTGTATTGCAGCATAATTAACATAAATATGTAATTATTGTAAGGATAACAAATATTCCAATTACGTTCAAAAACAAGATATTAGTGCATTTGAAATTAAAATAATGATTTTTTATGATTTTACTGAATGTGTAACTTAAATTAAGAATTATAAACGGAAATGATAAATCAAATAAAATGAAATCTAAATAAAATAAATTATAAGTCTATCTTTGTATCTTTGTATAATACAACATAACAAAACATCAATAAACTAAATGTTAATGAAAATATATTCTTCACCAAAAAAAAAACAACCAAATTCAAATGCCAAAATTTTAACACGATGAGTTTCAACCAGTTACCGCTGCATATCCTTTATGTGAAAGCTAAAAACTTACTTGCCAAAGACTACAAAAAGCTTATATACCTATAATGGTGGAATCAGAAGACTCGAACCCTTCATTTGCATCCCGAACACATTTACAACTATTGCAACAGATAAAACTTCAATGAGGTCGAATAATGATAAGGATTAGCTTTATTACACACTAAAATAGTAGTTTCTACGAGGTATAATTTGCTGTGCAACTCTGTTCTTAATAGGCCTCAACTTAATTAGTTTCAAAATGAAACTTTTTTGGGACTGGTTAAAGAGTAGAATATTAATTAACAGAATACTAGGCGTCTAACAGAGCGAAGTACTACAACAATGATGATTTTATTTTGGTGGGTAGTATTGGTAGGCTGCTAAACCCGACCATTTCCAATCCACATGAAGTCGCAAATGCGTTCAAACAAACATACTATATGCAGACAGATATCCATAGATCAATTTGATTTGTTGAACTAATCAAAAAGATCTCCAATATCTATAGACTTACTTATACGCAGTTTTCACACTAAGACAGGCCTATTCTGAATCGCATGAGAATGGGAGTTTGTTCCCTATTCCCCAGTTTGCTATTTTGAATAATTTGGGAATGGGAGTTTTGTTTCCTATTCCCAATTTTGCTATTCTGAATCGCTTGGGAATGGGAGTTTTTTTTCCCAATTTTGCATAAATTCTTTCCCAAGCAAATTGTTGGGGAGACAAGTTAAAAAAGTATTAAAAATGGTTTAATTTAATATAAAAGTAACGGAAAATGATCAAATTTTTGAATATATTTTAATAAAATTACTATTATAATAAAATTATTACAATAAATTTAATATTTTCAAAGTTTTATTTTTTTATTTTATCCACAAGAGTTGATTGGTTTTCCGAATATATTTTAATAAAATTATTTTAATAAATTTATAATATAACAAAATTTTCATTTAATATATATTATTAAAATTATTATTTTAATAAAAGTATAACAAATTTAAAATATTTAAATTTTTATTTACTTATTTTATTTACACGGGTTTTTTCCACTAATTAAAGTTTTCACTATTGTTTTTAAAACAATAGAAAAATGGAAGGAATGAATGGGACTCCTAGAATAAGTTAAAATAAACTTTTGCAATTATGTGCAGGTAAAACATTGCTTCTTTTTTTTCATCTGCACAATCATAAACTATTATTACAGTTTATTAATTTAAGTACATTTCTATCCTAATTATAAAAATAAATACGAGTTTTGCAGAGGAACTCAAGCTTTAGTTAAAACATTGATAATTTTAATTAATAAAAAAGATATTTTACTTTGTTTTATTGTATATAAGAAAATAATGAATTATATTAAAATTATATTTAAATATATACATATTTAAATAATAAAATAATTAAATAAAATAAAAACTTTATATTATCTTATATATAAAATTAACATTGTCAAAATGTTAGTTACCGTACTCCTCCGAAACGGCTTTACCGATTTTTACCAAATTTTTATATGCGTATTCAGTAGGTCTGGGAATCGGCTACTATCTATTTTTCATACCGCTAAAGTGATTAGGGAGTCCCTACCCAGCAAAAATATCCTTATTGCTTTAACAAAAACTTTTTTATTTTTTTGACATAAATTTTGTTTATACTTTTGAAAAAGAAAAATTTTTTTCTTAATATTTTATGTAACTACGCCAACAAGTACATCGAGCATTTACATCCACTTCGTTTCTTCGTCTTCGCCTTGCATGGCAGATGGAAAATATACTAAAAATTTTTCTAAAGATTTCACTAATGATACTATAACAAATACCGACGGATATCCAATATATCGTCGAAGAAATCCCGATAATGGGGGACAATGGCGGGTGGTGCCGTATTCGCCTCTGCTAAGCAAGACATACAATGCTCATATTAATGTTGAGTTTTGCAGTTCTGTGAAGAGCATCAAATATATAAGTATGTCCATAAAGGCAGTGATATGGCTGTGTTTAGAGTAGAAAATACTAATGTAAATGCTCCTCCAATGAACAAAAACGGTGAAATTACGCTCTACCAAATTGGTCGGTACATCAGCTCCAATGAAGCTGCTTGGCGTATCTTCGGTTTTCTAATTCATGAACGGGATCCAGCAGCTGTTCAGTTAGCCGTCCATCTTGAAAACGGTCAGCGTGTATTTTTTTCACGAACGAGACAGTGATTGATCGTGGTACAAATCCACCTAAATCTACACTCACTGCATTTTTTGAATTGTGTAATAGTACGGATGATTTTGGTGCCTTTGCAAGAACATTACTCTATTCACAAGTACCACGCTATTTCACATGGGCTCAAACAAAAAAATGGATGCCCCGCAAGCAAGTTTCACCAGTTGATGCATGTCTCAATTTATTTAAATCGAACGCTTATTTACAGTTAATCCAAGACACACTGAGTGCTTTTATCTTCGACTGTTGTTGGTTAATGTTACTGGCCCATTATCATTATTATTATTTACAGTCAATCCAAGACAATTTAAATTTGAAGATACAACAGTTGTTGCCAGGGAACTTGGTATCATACAAATCTATTGATTTTAAATTAATAATTTAATAAATAAACTATAATAACTTAAAAATAATATTGTTTGGCGTTTGTTATTTTTATTTTCCTTTTCGTTCATAGCGCTCCATGCCTATTTCATGCATATACCACATACTTACACACTTATAATAAGTAAGTTACTTTTTGTCTACACTAGAATTTATCTAGAAACTAGAAATAATTTATAAGGCAAAACAACGTTTGTCGGGTTATCTAGTTTACTTATAAAATATTCATTATATTCAATTCTTGTAATTTATGCAGCAGACAAAAAATGCGATTTTTACATTTAAATCAGCATATGATACGCAATTCTTTTCTTTGTTTTGCTCATTTTCGCACTTTTCGTCATCAAAAAGTGCCATGGTTGCCAAAATTTAACAAAACAAATTTGAAACTGTTGTTGTTCCCAAAACTGGTGTCTCCCAAGCAATTCAGAATGAGGGAGTTGTGTTTTTGGGAACAGCGTGGGAATAGGGTGTTTTGTTCCCTGGGAGTATTCAGAATTGCTATGTATATTTTTAACTGCAACAGCCTACTGTATACAAAGATAACATTTGGAGCTCCAAGACAAAAACGCGAAATTTCTACTATAATCGAACGCCCTGCTGTGTGAAATGCGCTAGAAATCACTTGACATCAGAGTGTACTCGTAATGTAGTTGACAATTAAGTAAAATGCGTATTATGCAACGGAAATCGTTCCGATAATTACAAGTGCTGGGAAGTATACTGGCAGCTTCAACAAAAAGCGTTTCCAGCTCTCCGTAAAAAAGAGGCCACTAGATCACCAACACGCACAGAGTTCGTTCAAGCAGACCGAAATCATCACTAGTGGACCAAAAACAAACTCAGAAAACAATTATATGTCAGAGTTGAAAGTGATGCTCCAAACACTAATGCAACAAATGAGTACTATGCTCAATCTTTTAATCGCGTTCATCGCTAACACTTCAAAATAATGAATACATTTAAAATTGCTTTCTGGAATGCTAATGGGCTACCAAGCAAAATACTTAGTCGCATCATTCTAGACCGCATCTCTGATGCACTTATAGCCACTGTTCGCGAAACCCAATTTGGGTTTAGGGAGAATCCCTCCAGTGTTGACCTTGTCAACACAGTCAGAATTATTCTAAAACAATGTTATTAGTTCCGGACCTCCATATATTTAGCGTTCATTGATTTTTGAAAGCTTTCGACAGCGTTATTAGTAGCTTTCTATGGAAGCTTCTTCAAAAAAGAGGGATGCCAAATGTCAAATGTCAAATTCTACTCAATGGAAAACTGTCAAACTCCTTTGAAGTTACCACTAGTGTCAGGGAGGGCTGCATACTATCGCCAACACTATTCTTACTTGTAGTTGATGACGATATGCGACCAGTTTTAAATGGTAGAAACGGCATACAGTGACTCATTCCTCACATCTGGAAGATCTAGAGTATGCTGACGATCTCTGCCTATTAAGCCATGTACGCAGTAATCTACAAGAGAACATAGACGCCATCAAATTTTACTAGCTTGAAGCCGGGCTAGAAATTAATTTCACGAAGACCAAATTAATGGCAGGTTACTACAGTGCTAACTCAGAGCCGGTTATCAACGTTAACGCGAAGAATGTCGAGTATGTGAGTTCTTTTAATTATCTTGGCTGCACGGTAACCTCAAAAGACGATGCAGAAGAGGATATCACGTCTTGAATAAACAAGGCAAAAACGGCGTTTGACATGCTACACTCTATCTGGAAATCCCAACAAATAACCATTCAAACAAAAATTAGAATTCATAACTCGAATGTTAAGTCGATCCTGTTTTATGGTTGTGAGACATAGAAGCACACAAATACAACGTTTCGCGTCTACAAGCCTTCTGCAATAAAGGCTGCGTCAGATTTCAAACGTATGGCAGCCTAATCGCATTAGTAATACTGACTTCTGGTACGCTACCAATTAAACCCCCGCGTTTGTTTAAATCTGCAAAGGAAAATGACGTTGGATTGGGCATATGCTTCGCAGACCAAACGAATACATCGCCCGACTTATATTTTTATTCACTTCGGTAAATAAAAAAAATAAAACACACAAATTTTAATTTTTATTAAAATTTTATTTTATTTTATTTGGTTAAAAAAAAAACAAATTTTATTATAAATGAAAATTATTTAATAATTATATATTTGTTCACTTAGGTGGAATCTTAAGACTTATTATAACTTTGGTTAATATTTATTTTACAAAGCATTTATTTATTGTTGTATCAAAAAATCTTTATTTTACAAGATATTGGTCATCAACTTTAACTTCGGTTAAAGATATCTTAAGACTAAATTCTAAATACAAAATCAATATCTTATATACTACTTACAAATCATAATTGGCGAAAGTGGATTAGAGGTAACAATAAAAATTTGGTAACCTGTTGACAAATGAGGATCATTACATTGTTTATGTGAAATGCTGATGCAGTTTGAGAAATGCTCAAATGCAATAGATTTTGTAATGGAAATTACTATGAATTCAAATATTGTTTTAATATTGTTTTAATATTTTAATGATTTAGAAATTTGAATTTGGAGCACTGAAATTAGGAAATTTTGTTTTGCTTATTAAGAGGAAGTTAAAGTATCGTGGGATAAAATATTATTTCGATACTTTAATTGTTCTGTAACTAGAATAGTTACAAAGAATTACGTTTTGTAATTAATGTTTGGAAAGTGTCGATTGAAGCCACAAATCAAACAAAAAACAAATTTGGTAATATGGGAAGTGTACCGTGGGATAGATAATTATTTGCGACACTTATGAGAGATGTACTGTCGAATTTTGCAATTTATTAATAACGATACAAATTTGATCACATAGACCAATTAATTGGAATACTGTGAAGTGTTGGCGGAGCCAATGACGTAACCCCCGTCCAGAGCTTCGATGCAATCCACAAGGCAGAGGTGGTCGTCTCGTGGCGCATCAGCATTAAAAGTCATCAATTTGAGAAATTTTTCCACACGCTTGGTCAAACATTTATAGCTGCTGGAGATTTTAATGCAAAGTATACTCACTGGGGCTCAACGCTAATCACACCAAGAGAACACAAATTGTTTAAAACTATGCAGGCTAACAATTTGCTTCACGCATCAACTGGAGAATCAAATTACTGGCCATCAGACTACAATAAAGTTCCACACGTGATCGATGTTTACATATTTAAAGGCATTCCTAGCTAACTCTTATCCATACATTCCAGCTCAGACGTTGCCTCAGACCACTCTCTCCTTATTATGGAGATTATACAACAAAAGTACAGACTAGAGTATTTATAGAAGCATCATAAATGAAAATTTAACAACTAACATCTAACCCAAAATCGGTAACGATGTCGAATTTGCGGTCGAGCAATTCAATACAACCATACAGAATGCCGCGTGGAACTCAAACACGCATAAACAAACAGTTACTTCAAAAACGTAGAACGCTGCCAGACAAAAGAAGTTTAAATGAAGCTAAAAAAAGCTTAAAGAAACTCTCACTGAAAACAAAAACGAGAACATTGAAACATTCCTCTCTGGATTGTCTCCCAGTGAAGCAACCGATTATTTATTATGACGTGCCATTCGCAATCTCAATGGACCAATGCCACACATTCCACCACTCAAAACGTATAATGAACAGTTGGCTAGATCCAGAATCGACAAGGCACAAACCTTCGCATAGCATCTCCAAGGTGTGTTCCAAGCACACCTGTCCAGAAATGACCAAAACGACGCTGAAACTGAGGCTCTCCTGCAAATACTGCATCAAAAGGATTTTCCAGTCACAAAAACCCCAATACAAAAATTAAATGGACAATTAAGACCAAAATTAAAGTCAAAAAGGCTCCTAGGTACGCTACCAAACATTTGTCTTGTATTCATCAACCCAGTTTTTAATGCCATTATTAGTCAAGAATACTATCAAAGTCAATGGAAAGTAGCCCAAGTTATTGTGATACCAAAACTAGGTTACATCATTAGAGTTAGTAACATCTTATAGCTTCAACTCCCTACACACTGTTCACAGCTGACCACTTAATCCATCAACGTATACCGCAATCTTTGCTAATGACACAGTGATCATAGCTAAAAGAAACGATCCAACAACTAGTAAAGTTACAAACAAATCTAGACACCATCCAAGTGTGGCTAAACAAATGGCGCATTAAAGTTTACGAATTCAAATCTGTACAAACCACATTCACTCTTCGCAATGATTACTACCCACCAGTCACACTAAATAATAACGTACTACCACAATCCGATCAGGTGAATCTGGGAGTTAATCTTAATCGGTGTCTCACATGGAAACACTACATATTTACAAAACCCAAGCCACTGGGTCTGAAAATGCGCTCCATGTACTGGCTCCTTTGTCAAAATTCAAAGCTATCACTGAGCGCTAAAGTACTCATATACAAAGCTATTTCGATCTGGGAACAATTGCAAAATCTAATATACCAATATTACAGAGATTTAAATCGAAAATATGGTACTTCGTTTATATGCGGCTTTTCCATGGTATATCCCAAATAGCACTTTACAGCGCGATCTCCACGTCCCATTAGTGTTTGAAACCATACAAACAGTCAGCAAAATTATTGAACAAGGCTATCAAATCACCCGAACTCACTAGCACACGAACTGTTATCAGATATCAATCATTCGCGTGAACTAAGAAAATTTTCTACGTCGGATTTGCCAAATAGAACCCAAAATACATCGTATTAGTTGAGTGTTTAACTTGTTTTTGAATAAATTCGTTATATAGAGATTTTTTTATATGCAAAAATTTGTTTATGTACCTGAAAAAACTTGGTTATAGAGAGGAATTCGCTATAGAGACGTTCGTTATAGAGAGATTCGCTATAGAAAGGTTCAAATATATGAAAATCGCTGTGTCTTCAACAAAACTTCGTTATAGAGAGGAATTCGTTATAGGAAGGTTCGCTATAGAGAGGTTTGACTGTATATACTTATTCATCATTAGTTGTAATTTAATCTTTAGCGGTATACTCGTATACTACTGAGTTGCCCGTAGATATCTACATATCATTTTTTTCTATATTATATCCATAAGAATTACTGAATGATCTTTTACAGGTTGTATTTTGTTGGAAATGTATAATCATAATTGAATAGTAGGCTATTCTTATTTGATTAACTGTATTTAACATTTTGTAAAAATATAGAAATAGATTAACTTTTGACTTCCGATAAGAATAAAGTTAAATTGTAAAAACACAAATTAACAGTTGGCGACGAGGATGGGATTGTAAGTGGTTTCATGAATACCGCAAGCTTCCATACCCAAGAATGATGGTTGGAATAGGGCTTCTGGGCAACGGAAACGTTCATTACCAATGGTGATGACTTGTCCATCGGGTAATTCATAGGACTTCTCCAATGATGAGCTGGAGGCAGCTGTTGCCATTTCTTGTTCGAAATCGAGTGCAACATAGCACAATTTTTCTTTAATGTCACGTACAATTTCACGTTCGGCTGTGGTTGTGAATGAATAACCACAGCCGAACGTGAAATTGTACGTGACATTAAAGAAAAATTGTGCTATGTTGCACTCGATTTCGAACAAGAAATGGCAACAGCTGCCTCCAGCTCATCATTGGAGAAGTCCTATGAATTACCCGATGGACAAGTCATCACCATTGGTAATGAACGTTTCCGTTGCCCAGAAGCCCTATTCCAACCATCATTCTTGGGTATGGAAGCTTGCGGTATTCATGAAACCACTTACAATCCCATCCTCGTCGCCAACTGTTAATTTGTGTTTTTACAATTTAACTTTATTCTTATCGGAAGTCAAAAGTTAATCTATTTCTATATTTTTACAAAATGTTAAATACAGTTAATCAAATAAGAATAGCCTACTATTCAATTATGATTATACATTTCCAACAAAATACAACCTGTAAAAGATCATTCAGTAATTCTTATGGATATAATATAGAAAAAAATGATATGTAGATATCTACGGGCAACTCAGTAGTATACGAGTATACCGCTAAAGATTAAATTACAACTAATGATGAATAAGTATATACAGTCAAACCTCTCTATAGCGAACCTTCCTATAACGAATTCCTCTCTATAACGAAGTTTTGTTGAAGACACAGCGATTTTCATATATTTGAACCTTTCTATAGCGAATCTCTCTATAACGAACGTCTCTATAGCGAATTCCTCTCTATAACCAAGTTTTTTCAGGTACATAAACAAATTTTTGCATATAAAAAAATCTCTATATAACGAATTTATTCAAAAACAAGTTAAACACTCAACTAATACGATGTATTTTGGGTTCTATTTGGCAAATCCGACGTAGAAAATTTTCTTAGTTCACGCGAATGATTGATATCTGATAACAGTTCGTGTGCTAGTGAGTTCGGGTGATTTGATAGCCTTGTTCAATAATTTTGCTGACTGTTTGTATGGTTTCAAACACTAATGGGACGTGGAGATCGCGCTGTAAAGTGCTATTTGGGATATACCATGGAAAAGCCGCATATAAACGAAGTACCATATTTTCGATTTAAATCTCTGTAATATTGGTATATTAGATTTTGCAATTGTTCCCAGATCGAAATAGCTTTGTATATGAGTACTTTAGCGCTCAGTGATAGCTTTGAATTTTGACAAAGGAGCCAGTACATGGAGCGCATTTTCAGACCCAGTGGCTTGGGTTTTGTAAATATGTAGTGTTTCCATGTGAGACACCGATTAAGATTAACTCCCAGATTCACCTGATCGGATTGTGGTAGTACGTTATTATTTAGTGTGACTGGTGGGTAGTAATCATTGCGAAGAGTGAATGTGGTTTGTACAGATTTGAATTCGTAAACTTTAATGCGCCATTTGTTTAGCCACACTTGGATGGTGTCTAGATTTGTTTGTAACTTTACTAGTTGTTGGATCGTTTCTTTTAGCTATGATCACTGTGTCATTAGCAAAGATTGCGGTATACGTTGATGGATTAAGTGGTCAGCTGTGAACAGTGTGTAGGGAGTTGAAGCTATAAGATGTTACTAACTCTAATGATGTAACCTAGTTTTGGTATCACAATAACTTGGGCTACTTTCCATTGACTTTGATAGTATTCTTGACTAATAATGGCATTAAAAACTGGGTTGATGAATACAAGACAAATGTTTGGTAGCGTACCTAGGAGCCTTTTTGACTTTAATTTTGGTCTTAATTGTCCATTTAATTTTTGTATTGGGGTTTTTGTGACTGGAAAATCCTTTTGATGCAGTATTTGCAGGAGAGCCTCAGTTTCAGCGTCGTTTTGGTCATTTCTGGACAGGTGTGCTTGGAACACACCTTGGAGATGCTATGCGAAGGTTTGTGCCTTGTCGATTCTGGATCTAGCCAACTGTTCATTATACGTTTTGAGTGGTGGAATGTGTGGCATTGGTCCATTGAGATTGCGAATGGCACGTCATAATAAATAATCGGTTGCTTCACTGGGAGACAATCCAGAGAGGAATGTTTCAATGTTCTCGTTTTTGTTTTCAGTGAGAGTTTCTTTAAGCTTTTTTTAGCTTCATTTAAACTTCTTTTGTCTGGCAGCGTTCTACGTTTTTGAAGTAACTGTTTGTTTATGCGTGTTTGAGTTCCACGCGGCATTCTGTATGATTGTATTGAATTGCTCGACCGCAAATTCGACATCGTTACCGATTTTGGGTTAGATGTTAGTTGTTAAATTTTCATTTATGATGCTTCTATAAATACTCTAGTCTGTACTTTTGTTGTATAATCTCCATAATAAGGAGAGAGTGGTCTGAGGCAACGTCT